GCTTGTCGGATATGGTGCCCTGTTCAGGCATAGGTAGTCCTGTATGTATTACTGAATGTAGGGGAATGAGCTGTTAGCCCGTTGTACTAAGCCTTGGCAAATTGTGTGGTAGGGTGGCCAGTTCCATTCCACGCCACCTTTATCCTCCCCAGTAGTGAACCACCGGGTACCCATTTTTAATCCTGGGTGGAGAGAGACAAACGTGGGTAAAGTGCCTTTGTCAAGAACACAAGCGAAATGCTCAGCAAAGGTTTGAACCCCTAACCTTGAAGTTGAGAGACCGTAACGCAACCGTGGCGCCAACCACTCCCGCAGTGCCCTGTAGGGCTAAAAAACAATAATGTAAATAACACTGAACAAGAAAAAAATATTAAACTACATCCATATGAAAGTGCTCAGAATAGTACCTAACCCCACGTTCTGTAAACATGTGCATTGTGAGTGCTCCTCCATATCCCCCACCACTAGTGCTCTTCATTAAGTGATATGAATCCCGGGCAATCTGTGCGCTTGAATATGCATTCACTTGTCCTTATGGTTGGTACTGTATTAGAAACACAGTGACTGACACTTGCTATTGAAGATGTGTTAAACTGTAAGTCAAATCAAAATGTTGCATAGTATGTGTTGGATCACCAGTAAACTACTCTAAATCGCTTTGAATTATACTAATAGTTCTGTTATTCTAAGGCTTCAGAAGATACTGGTTTTTTTTAAAGGTTGCTTTCTGCAGTCATATTAGGCAGGTGGTAGTCTTTTGATTTGTCCTATGCGAGTAGAATTCACTATGGTTCTAGGATCGCAAAGGATTACATGAATTTTAGAGCTTAAAATTCATAGAATACTCTAAAATCACTTGAACACTATTTTCAACAATTCTGTTGCTATTTGTTTAGCAGGCCATTTTAATATTTTAACGTTTCTTCTTTCGAAATGTTTACACTGATTGCACAGTATGTTATACCAACTTAATGTCACATGGTTATTTATATATATATATTTTTTTCCATATAACAACATCACAAGGCTTCTCAAATTCTTAACATTTTTAACTTTTGTTTTCTTTTGTGGAATTGTGTTGACATATCTTATCATAACATTGTGCCATTACGTTCTACATAGATGATATCCCTGGAACCAATTCATCGTAGGATTAACTAAAAATAAATCATGTTTAAAAAAGCTGCAATTTAATTACTGTCTGTGAATTAAATGTTTTTGAAAATGTTTTGTAAGTGTTTTAAAAGCTGTCATACCTAGCTCCTACATAGATGCACCGTTCTTGGCGTGATTGCTTTGTGTATTGTGTCACGCCCAACCCCGAAATTGACCTGCTTTTTGGAAACTGAATGGTAAAGAATATACTGGACAAGTTTTAAAAACAAGATAACATCACCTCCCACCAACTCCTTGAATCAGCAGTATCTGTGATGTATTTCTAATGAAAATTAAGATAGGAACGGTATAATTGGATTACCAACGGCTGCGTCACAACTGCATTTTATGCAGAAAAAAAATTGCAAAAGAATCTTCTCTTGTGTAGTATTAGTGAGTAGTGAATTATCAATCTAAGAAACATAATTCCAATTGAGTGGATAGATAGAGAGTACAGTTACTATACTATCACAAATTTACGATGTGTAGAAAAATTCCTATTATGATCTGTATGTCATGTTTCAAAAAACCCCCCCAAAAAACCCCAAGGTTAACATGTTATTGAAAATACTTCAAATTCTATGGACTTTGAAACAGTTAGTGCTGTAGTGATCTTTTGCCATAACTTTTATGACATTTATGATTAGAATATGAAGTACCTTGGTGTGATGTCAATGCATACCTCCATAATATAAACTACATTGTTTGAATGAAAGGTGATACAATATATTAACTATCAAATATCTTTTCCCTAGTAAATATTTTTTCTTTCAGCTTTTATGTTACATTTTTATTGTACCTCTTTTTAATGTACATGCAGTATAAAAATGTTTGGTCTTCAAATTTGTAGCGTACAATATGATAATCTAGAAATTTTCAGTCATTGTGTTGTGCTTAAGCATGCCCTCTTTTGGATATCATGTACAGACCCTCCTCTGTACAAAATTTGGAAAGCAATAACACAAAAACAACACACAAGTAAACAGACGTTTTAAAACACAATAACATTCCATATTTAAATGTTCTGTCTGTGGTAAGATATATTTAAAATTTAATTGAAACATAACAAAATTCATGGTATAATATAAAAATTTAACAGGAGCTAAAATTTGTTTTTTTAAAATTAGGTCGAATTAATGAAAGTATTTATATTTTTAAACAAATTGCACCTGAAGAACTGTATACGAAAGCTTTTATTTAAATAAATGTTTCAATTAATGTTTCTAACAAATCAAAATGGCTTTTACCTAAACTAAATGTCAAATTCCTCTGTTATATTTGTGACTTTTTTTTTATCATTTTCACAGTAATTACTTTAAAGATAAATGATATATTAGGGGAAGTTTGAACTCCAGAACCCCCTTTTAATATTTCATTATTTTAGTCAGCTTGATAAGGACTCATCTTCTAGTGAAATAAAATAAAGAAAATAGTTTAAATTAAAACAAAACTATTTACCCCAAAATATTGTTAATAATAAGTAAACAAAAATTCTTATGATTTAGCTTATACCTGTGTTCGCAAACTAGACGGAATCACACTTGTTCTTTAGTAATGATTTAGTATTAAATTTGATTTTGCTTGATGTGAATACCATTCCAATTGGTCACTATTTAGTTTTTTGGATTACGCATTACTCAAAATGATAGATAATCTTGAACTTATCATGGGAGAACTAGTTTCATCATTTATGTTAAAACTATGTCAGAAGTTAAATATCATTGTACTTTTTGAATCTCCATCTGGCCCAAGCTGTTGGTACTGCGGAAAATATTCTTGACGTTTTGATGCCAATGTTTATTGCCTGGATTGGGAGTCAAGGTGATGTTTATAATAAGGAAAAACATTAAAATAAAAATCCCAAGTGAATGATTTATTGTAAAAATTATTTTGCAGAATTCTGAAGGTCAAGGGAATTCTAGCCATTTTTTATGAATCTTAACAGAGAGAAAGTCATTTAATTTTTGACAGATTTTTTTAATATGATTAGTTCTTTCTGCAATGAATTAGAAACTATGACAGGAGAATTATAAATGAATGAAGATGAAGTGTATATTTTACTTGCATGCGAAGTATCAGTGTTTGTGCAAGTTTTAAAAGTTATTTAAACTGATCTCTGAGAACAGTGTTATGGAAAAGTGAGGGCAGCAGACTCTTAGCTACTTCTTTCAATAATGCTCTGAAGAAATACCTACTTCAAAAGTTACTTGGATAATATCCATCCCTTTTCATTGAAATATATATATGGTAATGTTTTAGATTGTCTGAAATTTTTAAGTATTCTTTTCCTACATGTGATGTAGTTTAGGCAATAAGATCACAAGACAGATTTATGGTCAATTTCTTCACATATTAAGTAGCTTGAAACCGACGTATAAAATTGCTACGTTACGGCCGTCTCATTATATATTTAGGAGGCTGTAATATGTCGGCAGTTTTTGATGCTGAACTTTGTGTAGTAGTGCATGTGATTACATGTCAGATCAATAATGCGGGGCAGAGGGAGGGCTGTCTCTTAGGGTGGAGTTCTTATGTTTTTATTTTTTAATATTCCCATAGTTTTGTTAGTTATATTGTGGAAATCACTAAAATATTAATCTTTTTATTATACAGAACTATGGCCCTTATGTTTTTGTTTGCTGAACACCAAACATGTATACATAATTTTAAATCTCAAATGTAAAAATAAAAATATATGTGTAATTGTTCGAAGTAAAATTAGAATTTTTATTTCACATTGTCAACTAAAATGTTGTTATATGTATTGTTTTTATTCTTTATTAAAAATAGAAATAAAATTATTTTTTAAACAATAATATAAATGGTAAATTTTTCCAAAACTCGGTTTCCTTAAAACTGAAAAGATAAATGCTGATGTAATTATCCCAATTAGTTTTTTGAAAGTCATAAAATATTGATTGTGTTTTATATTGAGAAGAAATAAAATAAAATAATTTTAAAATAATAAAAGGTTAGTGTGGCCAAAACTAGGTTTCCATAAAATTGGACCACAGTTTTAATCTCGGCCGCCACTCCACAGAGGAACAACCATCATGGGACTCGAAGTAGACTTACTTGTACCAGTCATGAACAACTCCAATTACAAACAGTTGTGTCCATATAGATACAGTCAGTCAGCTGCCGTTACACGAACTACTTTTAAAACTGGTCCTTTCGCGCAGCGAGGGTCAGTCCTCTGTCCATGCCCTTCAAAAAGTGCGAGAAAATTAAACCTGGGTTTTACTCATGGTGATAACGCAGGCAACATAAATTATCGGTAGTATTCAGATAACGTGAAATGGCCATTAACCTCTGTCAAATTCCATTACATTTTTTATGTCAAAAATATACTGTGTGCTTAGAAGGACGGAGAATAAAAAGTAATGTATTTGACACGTGTCATACTTTGTCTATATTATATTTTTTTATCAATATGTTTAGTAATGTAGGGCGCATCCTACTTTTTACCTTGCTTGGGTTTCATGTTGTGACTTGGTGTTTAATAATTGTCTTTTGATTTATGTGTAGCTGCTAGTTTAGTTAGGTGAATTTGTTATATTTTTTCTAGTATATGTAAATGTATTCAGTAAAAGCTTGTTTCTCGATTGTAATGCAATAATTTCAGACTTGTTCTGCCTTTTGTAGTGTGTTTTGTACCTGAATAAATAAATAGAATTGTTAATGAATATAAATTCTATATTTCTTTTATTTTTTCCAACTTCATTTTATTACATAATGTCAGTAAATTTGATAAATATATTTATAAAATTAAATGTTAATTTAATATTTAAATTTCAATAATCAAAATCTTAATTGTGATTTTTTTTTTTTTCGTATTACCTTAGCCTCCACAGTATAAGCTAGATCCCCGGCTTGCTCGACTCCTGGGCGTTCATACTCAAACTCGTGCCGTGATCATCAGCGCTCTGTGGCAGTACATAAAAACGCACAAGTTACAGGATCCGCACGAACGTGTCTTCATCAACTGCGACAAGTATTTTCAGCAGGTAGGTCTGAAGGGTAATAATAATAATAATAAGTCGATTTATAAGGGGCAAATAAACAAGGTCTCTAAGCGCAATATCCAAGTAAAGAAAAGGTAAGGAATTTGGAATGGCAAACCTCATGTATTACCAAGTACATTATTATTACCAGGACTAAATTATAAGGAATTTAACCACTACGAACCTGCTGTACTTACTATTAATTACTGTAAGCATAAAATAAATTACTAACTTCAAGGGTTTTAAAAGGAAATAACATTTTACCACATAAAAGGAATTAAAACTAATGGAATAGCACAAAAAAAACAGTAATAAATTCACACTAAAAAACACCATGTACCTACGAATATACAAAATAAGGCCTACTTAAGCTATGTAAGGGAAAAATGTCTTTAAATAGTATTTAATTCATGACCAAAATTCCACATTAAACTATATATTTTGCATTTAGCTAACTAATCCAGCTATACTAAAATAGTAATTCAATTCAATTTACCTTTTATTTCGATTCACTTCCATAGACAATACAATTATCTTTCAAAGCATAATACCATGCAGTACAGTTATGTATATACATAAACAATATAAATAAATATAAAAATAAATAATTAATTAATAACTGAGCATTTGTCATGTATCTACTGTGCTGATACTATAATATAAACTGCCAAGTGCTATTCAGAATCACTTCACTTCATAGAGCCCACACATTTGATAAGGCGTTTTGCAACCGTTTTCAATTCAGTTCTAAAATGATATACTGACATAGAATGAAGGTACATTATTTGTAACAATCATTTCACTATTATTAGTGACTGTAACAAAAATTTAATTTGTAATTTCAATAGATTTTTACAATTTTGTAGTCTTATAATTTAAAGATTGCATACATCAAATTATTTAATTTTGTGTGACTTACTAATTACGTTATTGTTGATACTACATAAACATAGTTAAATGGGTGAGATTGAAGTGTGATGTCAAGTCCAGTCCAAGCTATCAAATTTTATTTGAGAAAAACATGTGACATGTCTAAATATGGTCATGATGATATCACATCATGACCATATATAGGCACATCATGAACTGTCTCTTATACACATCTAGATGTGTATAAGAGACAGTGTTATAGCTGAGACAATTCTCTTTCATATAT